GGTTTCATATAAATTTTAGTATTTTTTTTCTAATTCTGTGAAAAATGATGTCGGTAATTTGATAGAAATTGCACTGAATCTGTACATTGCTTTGGGTAGTATGGTCATTTTAATGATATTGATTCTTCCAATCCATGAGCACTGGAATTTTTTCTATTTGTTTGTGTTATCCATCATTTCTTTCATCAGTGTTTTGTAGTTCTTGTAGAGATCTTTCACCTCCTTGGTTAGATGTACTCCTAGGTATTTGTGTGTGTGTGTGTGGGAGGGGGCTATTGTAAATGGGATTGAGTTCTTAATTTGTTTTTCAGCTTGAACATTATTCATGTATAGAAATGTTACAGATGTTCGCATATTCATTTTGAATCCTGAAACCTTACCAAATTCATTTATCAAGCCTAGGAATCTTTTTGAAGAGTCTTTAGGGTTTTCTGGGTGTAAGATAAGGTCATCAGTGAATAGAGATAATTTAACTTCCTCTTTTCCAATTTAGATGCATTTTATTTCTTTCTCTTGCCTGATAGCTCCAGTACTATATTAACTAGGAGTGGTGGGAGTGGGCATCCTTGTCTATTTCTGGTTCTTAGAAGGAATGCTTTCAACTTTCCCCATTCAGTATGATCTTAGCTGTGGGTTTGCCTTATATGGCTCTTACTATTTCAAATTATATTCTTTTGATGCCTAGTTTGATGAAGGTTTTAGTCATGAAAAGATGTTGGATTATTAAATGCTTTTCTCTTGAAATAATCATTTGGTTTTTGTTTTTAATTCTGTTTTTGTGGTGAATCACATTTATTGATTTCCTTATGTTGAACCATCCTTGCATCCCTGGAATAAAACCCACTTGATCATGTGGGAATAAAATCCACAGTACATCATATTATCTTCTTGATATGCTGTTGGATTCAGTTTGCAAGTATTTTGTTGAGGATTTTTGTGTGTGTTCATCAGGAATATTGGCCTGTAATTTTCTCTTTTTGTGTGTCCTTGCTTGATTTTGGTGTCAGGGCAATACCAGTTTTATAGAGTGAGATGGGAAAGAATCCCACCTCCTTCATTTTTTGAAATAGTTTCAGTAAGATTGATATTAGTTCTTCTTTGTACATCTGGTCAAATTCAGCTGTGAATTTGTCTGGTCCTGGACTTTTATGGGGGTGTATTTTAAATTACTGATTTAATTTTGTGACTTATTTTTGGTTTGTTCACAATTTCTATTTATTCCTGGATCAATCTTGGGAATTGCATGTTTCCAGGAATTTATCTATTTCCTCTAGGTTTTCTAGTTTGTGCACATAGAGGTTCTCATATTACTGTCTGATGATCTTTATTGTTTCTGTGATTATATTCTAATACTTACTTTATCATTTCTATTGTGGCTTTTTTTGGATCATTTCTCTTTTTTTCTTGGTGACTCCTAGCTAGCAATCTATCAATTTAGCTTATCTTTTCAAAGAACAATCTTTTTGTTTCATTGATCTTTTGTATCTATTTGATCTCAATCTCATTTAGTTCTGCTCTGATCTTTGTTATTTATTTTCTTCTGCTGGCTTTGAGTTTGGTTTGTTCTTGTGTTTCTAGCTCTATGAAGTGGAATATTAGGCTGCTAGTTTGTGATCTTTCTATCTTTTTGTAGGCATTTAACACTATAAGCTTTCCTCTGAGCACTACTTTTGTTGTATCCCAAATGTTTTGGTATGTTGTGTCCTTATTTTTATCCAGTTCAAAAAATTTCTTGATTTCTCCCTTAATTTTATTATTTACTCAAAGATTGTTCAGGAGCAAGTTATTTAGTTTCCATGTATTTGCATAGTTTTGAGAGTTCCCCTTGGTACTGATTTTTAATTTTATTTCACTGTGGTCTGAGAAGATATTTGATATGATTTTAATTTTTTTGAATGTATTGAGACTTGCTTTATGGCCAAGCACATGGTTTATTTGGAGAATGTTTCATGTGTGAATAAGAAAAATGTATATTCTACAGTTGTTGGGTAATGTGTAGTAAATGTCTAGTAGGTCCATTTGCTCTAGAGTCCAGTTTATACCCAGAGTTTCTGTTTTAAAAATTTTTACTTTTTAAGCTATCTCCTACTGGAAGGAGCATCCAGAGTTTCTTTGTTGATTTTCTGCCTTTATGATCTGCCTTATACTGTCGATGGGGTGTTGAAGTCTCTTACTATTATTGTGTTGCTATCTATCGATTTTCTTAGGTCTAATAGTGTTTGTTTAATGAACCTGGGTGCTCCGATATTGGGTGCATATACATTTAGGGTAGTTAAGTGATTTTGCTGAATTGAACTCTTGATCATCATATAATGACCTTCTTGGTTTTTTTTTTTCACTGTTGTTGATTTAAAGTCTATTTTATCTGACATAAGTATCTGATACTTATATAAAAACTCCTGCTTGTGTGTGATCACACAAACTGAAAACACCTTTACTTTGAGTCTGTAGGCATCTTTACCAATTAGATGATACTCTTGTAGGCGACTAATTGTTGGGTCTTGTTTTTTAAATTCATTTTGCCAGCCTATATCTTTTAAGTGGAGCATTTAGGCCATTTACTTTCAAGTTAATATTGATAAGTTTTCCTCCAGTCATAATTTGTTGATAGCTAGTTGCTTTGTAATCTCAATTGTGTAATTGCTTAATAGGATCTGTGAACTTTGTACTTAAGTTTGCTTTTATGATGGTGCATCTTGCCCTTTTATTTCCATCTTTAGAACACCTTTGAGCATTTCTTGTAGAACCAGATAGTTGTGATGAATTCCCTTAATGTTTGCTTGCCTGGAAAGACTTTATTTTTCTTTCATTTATGAAGCCTATTTAGGCAGGATAGAACATTCTTGGCTGGCATTTTTTTTTCTTCAAGAAGGCTGAAAATAGGCCCCCAATTTCTTCTGTTTATAAGGTTTCTGATGAGAAGTTCACTGTTAGTCTGATGGGGTTTTCTTTATAGGTAGTTTGACACTTCTCTCTAGGTGCTTTTAAAGTTTTTTTCTGTCAACTTGACCTTAGATAGTCTGATGACTATGTACCTTGGTGATCTTCTTCTTGTAAAATATCTCCCAGGTGTTCTCTGCACTTCTTATATTTGGATGTCTACATCTCAGGCAAGATCGTGAGAAAACTGACTGCTGTGACACTACCACCAAAGGATCATACTAGGTCTCTAGCAATGGATCCTGACCAAAATAAAAATTCTGAAGTGACAGAAAAAGAATTCAAAATATGGATTGTAAGAAAGCACAGTTCAATCCAAGAGAGGGTTAAAAAAACAACACAAAGAAATCAGATAAGTAATTCTGGATATGAAAGAAGAGAGAGATATCTTTTTTAAAAAATCAGCTTCTGGAAATAAAAAATTCACTGAAGGAATTTCAAAATACATCTGAAAGCTTTAATAATAGACTAGATCAAGCAAAAGAAAGAATTTCAGAACTTGAAGACCAGTCCTTCAATTTAACCCAGCCAGAAAACAATAAAGAAGAAAGAATTTTAAAAACTGAACAAAGCCTTTGAGAAATATGGCGTTATGTAAAGCAACCAAACCTATGAGTTACAGGCATTCCTGAGGAAAAAAGGTTAAAAATTTGAAAAAAAATTTGAATTTTCACTTCTAATTAAGAACATTTTATTACCAGTTAAAATGTGTTATAGGTACTTGATACTACTTAATCTAAACTATTGATTGATTTTTCACCTTGAAAGTTCATCACTTTTATGTCGAGATTTGCTTCAAAGTAACAAAATAGAAGAAACAAATGGCACATGGATGAGGCAAGACAGGCCAAGAATTGAAAATTGCTTAATTTGGGTGATAGGTACATGAGAATTCATTATTTTATTTTCCCTGCTTAGCCAGATACATGCTTAGTAGTGCTATTCCCTTAAAAATAGGTCCCAAGCTTATCTAAGTCAATATGAAAGTTCAAAAATAAACAAACCTAGTTCTAAAATGATCTGGTTTCATGACATTTGAGCAATTTTTAACTATTCCAGGCCTCTGTGTTTTTTGTAGATGGTTATTAGTTAGTTATAATGGACTGTCTTGAGGACTTCAGGGGAAAAAGGTATTGTTCTAGAGAAATGTCTTAATCACCATTGAATTTTGAATTTTATTTCACCTTGCTTTATCTGAAGACAAAATAAATTATGTCCTAAGTATGTAAATGCCATCATTGTATTAGATATTCAATGTTTATTCTTAGAAAACAATGATACTGGAAAACATGATCCAGAAAGAGACAGGAACAGGAATAAAAATGTGAAATGAAACTTTTTTTTTTTTTTTTTTTTTGAGACAGAGTCTCACTCTGTCGCCCAGGCTGGAGTGCAGTGGCAGGATCTCGGCTCACTACAAGCTGTGCTTCCCAGATTCACGCCATTCTCCTACCTCAGCCTCCTGAGTAGCTGGGACTACAGGTGCCTGCCATCACGCCCAGCTAAAATTTTGTATTTTTAGTAGAGACGGGATTTCACCATGTTAGCCAGGATGGTCTCGATCTCCTGACCTCGTGATCCGCCCACCTCGGCCTCCCAAAGTGCTGGGATTACAGGCATAAGCTACTGCGCCTGCCCTGAAATGAAACTTTAAAGAGAATCCCCAAACCATTAATAGCTAGAGGGACATTGAAGAGTGATCTGGTACAGATTTTAATGCACATAATCTATTTAGAAGTAGTTTTTTTAACCAACTAGACTAAATAGTCCAGGAAAGGCATGAAAATAGCAGTCACTCAGGAGAACTTTCACAGCTATCAAGGAGATTTACTACATGAATGCTGGAGCACAGAGCAACTAATTAAGGTGTTGAAAAGAAGATAGTTGAACCTGGAAAATCTTTGTATTGAGTAACCTAAAAGTAGAGCTTAAAGGAGTGAGCTTGACTTCTGACAAAAGATAGTGAATTAAGTATCTGCTTTTATTTGCTCCTTCTTCAAATCCCATCAAATGGCAATAAAGAATTTTTTTTTTTTTTTTTTTTTTTTTTTTTTTTTAAGATTCACAAGAAAGAGAAGCTTGGAAAAGAAGACCAGGAAATACAATGTTGGAAGTGGGAATGCAGATGGGAAAAGGTAATCGTAAGCCAGCAGTGAGGAAGCAAAAGTTCATCTGATTTACACAGAAGAATTTATCTAAGGTGAAGGAATGGGCAGTACTAGATTCTTCTGGAAGTGGGACTGAAAAAAGAGATTGAGTAAGGAGGATTGTTTGAAAGTCTAGGAACTATCCAGATCCCATATTGCTCTCCACAGTCTGATAAACCACCCAAGGACCAGACATTTTTTGACTCTAAAAAAAGAATATTGTTTAACAAAAACGGAAACAAAGGGAACTTCAGGTTCGGTTGAGGTTGGAGGTACTGAACAGAAAATGAAGATTTGGATAATATTTGCATCCTGGATTCTGAGCCAGCCCTCTTCCTACATTCAGGTCCCGGAATATTGGTCTTCATCCTACAAAGAAGAGGTTGGGGATTTTTTTCCAGGGAAATATGATTGGTTCAACAGGAAATATCTACAAATATGCTGAAAATTTGCCATTTAAATATCTCAACCAGATCACAATAAAGTAAAGCTCAGAATAGACAGACCCTCCCCCACTCTTAGAGGGTATTAGTGCCCCTATTTTAAATAAATATGAACCTTCAACCCAGAAACATCAGACAACAGGAAAGTATCTATAGAGATCAAAATAAGCAGAAACAGGCAACATGGAGAACTAATGTGAGGTTTTAAAAAATATGCCACAAATTGTTTGGCATTTCTCAGATCAGAGGGGAGAGTCTAATTCCTCTATCCTTGAATATGGGCTAGTCTTAGAAACTTGCTTCTAAAGAATATATTGTGATGATGCTGGGCTGTGTGATCTTTTTAGGCAAGGTTAGAAAAAGTGATGTAGCTCTTACATGATGTTTTCTCTCTCTCTTTCTCTCTCTCATTTTTCTCCATTTACCCTTGGAAACCTAGCCATTATGCTATTAAGAAGTCAGGTATCCACATGAAAAGATGGCATAAGGTATTCTAATCACAGTTCCAGCTGAGATCTTAGCATTAGCCAGTACCAATGATCACACATGTGAATGAATGAGAATTCCATCCTCAGTTTTTGAGTCACCTAGCTAATGCCAAGTGGAGTAAAGACAAGCTGTCCTCACAGGGTCTTATCAAAGCTACAGTTCATGAGCAAAATAATTACTATTGTTATATTAAACCAATAATTTTTAAAATGGTTTGTTATACAGTAATAGAAAAACTTGAACACAGATAATTTCCAGGGAGAAGAAATTTTCACAATTTATAATCAATTCCTCTTCTGGCTGAGATGAAGTAATAGGTACCAAATTTATCATCTTGCCTGAAACAGTTGAAATCTGGACAAAATGTATAAAGCAATGGTTATTAAGATATTGAAAGTCAGGCAACAAAATACCTTGATCCCTGAGAAAAGGAAGATAAATGAGGTTAGCTCTACAGTTGTCCCGGATTACTACTTAGAGAAAGTTTCCAGACTGTGTTGTAAAGAGAAGGAATTCAGGCAGAGCCTAGGGGTCTCCTTACACTGGGGAAGCAGAGCTGGAAATTTAAGGAGGCCAAAGAGAGTACAGTTTACAGGGCAAGGTACTAGAGGGAAGAGAGCTAGAGGGGTGGGGGGCAGAGAAAGAGAGAGAGAGAGAGAGAGAGAGAGAGAGAGAGAGAGAGAGAGAGAAGACACACAAGCTCTAGAGATCTGAGAAGGTATGTTCCCTTAGCTCAGTATTCAGCTGAGTAATGATCAATGCATGCCTATGAGGAAATCACTCAAGGCCAGGGGAAAAAACACACAAAAGGATTATAGTATTATAGTGACTAACCCTCAGAGCTCACAAAAGGCCCTGAAATAGCGACTGTCTCACCAGCCAGAGTGAAACGTTTTACAATTCACAGAACACAACATGGAGTATAAAGACGGGTGTTGCTTTGGTAGAAGTGCAAAAGTAGCCCTAGATTAAATGCTTCTCTGGTCTCATCTGGCAAAACTTAAAGGCACAGCTTGAAAGGAGTAACCTGTTTCCAAGTAATGTAACTGCATCGAAGATTGGAGCCCAAAATATTTATAGAAATGCAACAATAGGGCAGGGCACGGTGGCTCACATCTGGAAATCTAAGGAGGCCAAAGAGAGTACAGTTTACAGGGCAAGGTACTAGAGCGAAGAGAGCTAGAGGGGTGGGGGGCCAAGGTAGGCAGATCACCTGAGGATGGGAGTTCGAGACCAGCCTGACCAGCATGGAGAAATCCCATCCCTACTAAAAATACAAAATTAGCCAGGCATGGCACATGCCTTTAATCCTAGCTATTCGGGAAGCTAAGGCAGGAGAATCGCTTGAACCCGGGAGGCAGAGGTTGCGGTGAGCTGAGATTGTGCCATTGCACTCCAGCCTGGGCAACAAGAGTGAAACTCTGTCTCAAAAAAAAAAAAAAAAAAAAGCAACAATATATAGCATCCTAGAAGCTAAAATTCACCATGTGTAGCATGCAATAAAAAATTAGCAGGCATGTAAAAAAGCAGGAAAATATGATGTATAATAAGAAGAAAAATCAATCAACCAAGATTGACAAAGATAATAAAATTAGTAGACTAGGGCACTAAAATAGTTATTACAACTAAATTCTATATGTTCAAGAATCTGAATGAAAGATTAAACAAGTTAATGGGGAAAGGATTCCCTATTTAATAAATGGTGCTGGGAAAATTGGCTAACCATAAGTAGAAAGCTGAAACTGGATCCTTTCCTTACTCCTTATATGAAAATTAATTCAAGATGGATTAGAGACTTAAATGTCAGACCTAATACCATAAAAACCCTAGAAGAAAACCTAGGTAATACCATTTAGGACATAGGCATGGGCAAGGACTTCATGTCTAAAACACCAAAAGCAACGGCAACAAAAGCCAAAATTGACAAATGGGATCTAATTAAACTAAAGAGCTTCTGCACAGCAAAAGAAACTACCATCAGAGTGAACAGGCAACCTACAGAATGGGAGAAAATTTTTGCAATCTACTCAACTGACAAAGGGCTAATATCCAGAACCTATAAGGAACTCAAACAAATTTACAAGAAAAAAACAACCCCATCAAAAAGTAGGCAAAGGATATGAACAGACATTTCTCAAAAGAGGACATTCATACAGCCAACAGACACATGAAAAAATGCTCAGCATCACTGGCCATCAGAGAAATGCAAATCAAAACCACAATGAGATACCATCTCACACCAGTTAGAATGGCAATCATTAAAAAGTCAGGAAACAACAGGTGCTGTACAGGATGTGGAGAAATAGGAACACTTTTACACTGTTGGTGGGATTGTAAACTAGTTCAACCATTATGGAAAACAGTATGGCGATTCCTCAAGGATCTAGAACTAGAAGTACCATATGACCCAGCCATCCCATTACTGGGTATATACCCAAAGGATTATAAATCATGCTGCTATAAAGACACATGCACGTGTATGTTTATTGCGGCACTATTCACAATAGCAAAGACTTGGAATCTACCCAAATGTCCATCAGTGACAGACTGGATTAAGAAAATGTGGCACATATATACCATGGAATACTATGCAGTCATAAAAAAGGATGAGTTCGTGTCCTTTGTAGGGACATGGATGCAGCTGGAAACCATCATTCTCAGCAAACTATCACAAGAACAGAAAACCAAACACTGCATGTTCTCACTCATAGGTGGGAACTGAACAATGAGATCACTTGGACTCGGGAAGGGGAACATCACACACCGGGACCTATCATGGGGAGGGGGGAGGGGGAAGGGATTGCATTGGGAGTTATACCTGATGTAAATGACGAGTTGATGGGTGCTGACGAGTTGATGGGTGCAGCACAGCAACATGGCACAAGTATACATATGTAACAAACCTGCACGTTATGCACATATACCCTAGAACTTAAAGTATAATAAAAAAAAAAAAGAAAGATGCACCCAAAAAAAAAAAAAAGATTGAACAAGTTAAATAGAGACTTGAAAGACATTAATTAAAAAAGACCAAAATTGAATCTCTAGGGATGAAACCTACAATTTATTGGATAAAGAATACATTGTATGGGATTAGTACGTATTAGAAATTGCTGAAGAAAAGATAAATGAAATTGAAGATATCATAATAGAAATGATCCAAAATGAAACATATAAAGAAAAAAGATGAAAGAATAAATAGAGTATCAGTGAGTAGTGGGACAACTTCAAGCAGCCTAGCATGCATTTAATTAAAGACTGAAGGGAAAGGAAGGGCAGAAAAACAATTGAAGAAAAAAAGTTGTTTTTTTTTCCTCCCAAATTTGGCGAAAATTGTAAACTGCAGGTCTAGGAAGCTAAATAAACCCAAGCAGGAAAATCTTAAGAAAACTACGCCAATGAACGTTATAATCATATTGTCTAAAACTAGTGGTAGAGAGAAAAAAAGTCTTAAAAGTCGTCAGAAAAACAAGACACATTATGTAATGAAGAAAAAAGAGAAGGGTAAGAGCAGGTTTCTTGCCATAAACAATGAAAACTAGTGGCAGTAGAGCACTATGTTTAATGTACTAAAAGAAAAAAAAAGCCAACTTATAATTCATTACCCGGCAAAACTACCTTTCAAAAATACCTATAAAAACTGAAAGAATTTATCACTATCAGACCTGCACAATAAGGAATGTTAAAGTCCTTCAAGCAAAAGAAAAGTGGCATTAGATGGAAATCCTGATCTAAACAAAACAAAGAAGAGCACCAGAAAGGGAAAATATATAGGAAGAGAAACAATATTTCTTATTATTAAATATTTAAATCTCTAATAGATAATTGAATTGCTTAAAGCAAAAATAATAACAATGTATTATAGACTCACAGTATCTGTAGAATTAAAATGTATGACAAGAGCATAAAAACAGGGAAATAAGTAATGAAAGTATAGGCTTGTGAGATTCTTAAACTGTATGTGAAGTGGTGTAATACCACTTGAAGGCAGACAGAAATAATAAACGTGTGTATTTTTAACCTCTAAACCAATCATTAATTTAAAAAATAAATAAGTTTGGCTAATTAGGAAAAAAAGATATAAAATGGAAAAACAAAAAAAATTCCTTCCAAGGAAAGCA